GAAGAGAGAGATTTCAACTGACATCACTCGGATCGTTCGATCGATTCAAGCCGCTCGTACACCTCTTCTTCTTTTACTATTTTGATCGATACCTCTATCTTTCCTCTATCAAGATGATGCTTCCTCCTCTTCTTACAGCGGCTACTCCTCTAACAAAGCTACTACTCACCACCATGACAGTCTCCTCTTGATTGGCTAGGCTTGAAAGTGGCAGCGGCAGCGAGTCGAGCGATCGATCGGCTGACGGATCGATTCGGTCGATGACTTCTTTCACGGAGCGACCATGATGCCTCCTCTTCCACAGAGTGACAGACGACGCCTCTACGCTAATGCAACAACAAGCGACTACTACTACTACTACTACTAGAACAACAAGCGATGGACACAAGCGTCTTCCGTTCGACGGATCCGTTCGACGGATCAATTGCCTCACGGAGCCTCTGTTACGGAGCAACCACAGGATCGCTCCACGGAGCCATGGAATGGCCGTGAGCCTTTGACAGTGCTACTACTATTGCATGAAATGGCAGCTACACTACTTCTGCTGTCGACTGATTACAAACATGAAAATCTGCCCAATTTTGTGGCCATCAAGTCACAATTCTCCTTTCAATCTTTGGGATGGGTGCTCCAGTCTTCATGCGGCCACCCACTCTCTACCAGACTCTACAGTGAAGATTGAGTGTGAGAGTGAAGACTGGAGGACCTTTCCCATGGAGAAATCCATGCAGAATGACAACAAAATGGAATCCAAGCCTGATTTTTCCTTGAGGCCCCATAGAAAAGCTTGGAGATGGCCCAAGATTTTCAAGCATAGTGTCTGTGAGTGTGTTGGGGAGCTGCTTCTCTAAAATCGATTGGGCTATCTCCCTGTATTGGTAAAGCTAATAGCCATTTGGTCAACACTGTTGCCATGGTGGTAAAATTCATTTTATTTGCTTCAATCTTTTCTTTGTTGGAACCATGCATTTCAATGCAGGATTCGCGAAATGACCACTTCTGTTGGAAATGACCGCTTCCGATTTTGGTTTGGCCAAAACGAGAACCCCATTTTGACACCTGTCAGCGGTAAATAAAGTCATCCTGTACAGCACTTCAGACGTCAGACCTTCAGCCGTGGCCAGGCAAACCGGAATACAACGAGAAGCTGACATCACTTCTTGTAAATGAAAGGGCAAAAAGAATCATGTGGTCCTCAAACTAACCTGTGTTTCAGTATTTCCCAATCACCGAAAATGGACTTCAGATAAACGTGTAATTATCATTGTGGAGTTCAGGAAGGTGGGAGAAAACATTTGAGGTTGTAAAGAGTTGGTTTGAGGCGTCTTCCAGCCATGGACGAAATCCTGAAAGGTAACGTACTTGTATCATACTAGCTAGTAGCTGTCCTTGTTACTGCTTATCTCTGCATTTCTACTGGCTAGGATTACGTTTTGCCCCAACATCTTCTTGTGACTGCTTCCACATGTGCACAGAGCACTATCGGAGATAGCACTTTACAACTACTAAGTAGCAGTACTGTACCCCCGAAAAATGTGTTGACGAATGTCTCTCTCTGACGGTAGACTCTACCGTAATCCATCACGACCGTAAAAGAAGCCCAATCCCTCGTGAGACACCCTCTTTTTTGGAAAGTGCGCCGTCCTCATTCACGGAATACTCAAAAAAATGACTTCAACCATGAAGATTTGAGCGCGAAAAAGTCCTCATTCACGGAATACTCAGGTGATTGCAACCACGAAGACAAAGCAAGTACAGTAAACACGTCAGCGAGCAGTCAGCTGGTGTGAGGTTTTCCAGTCGCGAGGAGGTTTGAGGAACAGATTTGAACCATGTTTCGGTCCCTGGGACTGGCCAACTTTGCTTGCTCCGGGTGGTAAGTGATGAAGACATCCTTGTGCTAGTGGGGTGTTGCTGATGGGGCTGCTACCAGACACAGCCTAGCTAGGGCACAGACAAAAGTGTGTGGCGTACGGTATGTTGCCTTTGCTTTTGCCCTTCCAGGTCTAGGACTAATAATTACTTCGGAGCTGCAGAGTGTCTCCGGATTCACAATACTATAATTGGCTTCGGTAGTAGCTCATCTTGCTTGTGACAACAGCTTCATTTCTACATATTTCACTTTCCTCCAAGTGCTACGTCTGGCACATCCAGCCTTGAAATTAGTCACCAGGCATGCCTAAACTTCCACCTCATCCTCAATACCTCCCAATGGATTGGGCACCTCTACTTCAGGTGCAGCCCAGTTTTGGGGCCTGACAGGATTTTTGCCCCCAAACATGTCAGGCAAGTCCTGTTGGGAGATGTGCTTATACAACCTGCTTCGATCCTTGATATTCTCCTTGGGGTGCATAATGCTGAATTTATCAATGATTCGCTTGGGTAGGATGACACTGAAAAAGCTCCAAAGTGCATCAATGATCTATACCAGTAGGAAATGGCAATGATGAGTTGTCATTGGTGAAAGATCAGATGAAACATTTAACAGATGCCAATGGACGATACGTACAGTGGGAGGGTTGCATGCAAAAAGGCTTTCTAGCAACTGGGGATAGCAATCTTCCATGGTACCCATAGCTTTACCTGCTCTCTTCGTGTATTCGCGATTGACCTTACTCATACTAACACCTTCCATATTGGCAATTCTGAACCATAGGAACGAGAACATGAACAACAAACAAGTCAGAAATCTTGCCAGCCAGTTGAAGTTACTGACAGAACAATCAAATCATACTCTACATACCGGACGGACTTGGTTAGACGTCCTGTAGTCCTTGTCACATAGTCAAGCCATTGGAAGGACCACTCTGAAGCATACACGAATACACTCATCCAGTAGTCCTCAGTCAGATTCTCCGCAACCTTGTGTTGGTTCATACCAGCAAGTTTCAAAAAGGCAATGACTCCTCGTCTGGGATTAGGATGAGTGTACACCAAAGCATCTTCTTCCAGAAGATCATGAAACTCCTTGACTTTGCCATCCTTGACTTTGTGGGGTGGTACCTGACGAATATCCTCTTCATCCAACTTGTGTTCTTTGCGAAACACAAGAGTGTGCTTTGCAGCATCAATGGCAGCTTGGCTCTTTTTGTGTGACAGCCAGAACCTCAAGATCCACAAATCATCATGCTTGGATTCATCATAGAGTGGATCATCCACCAATGCTGCCTTGATTTTGGCAATCTTTTCACCATGATCCTTTATCAAAGCCTTGACTGATTGACGATCATCCTCAGGGCAAACAGGATCGATTGGGTCGGCAATTGCCTCTGAAATTCCATTCATCCATGGCCACGATGTCATCTTGTTCTGTTGTAGCACTATATTAATTTCTGGATACACAATCTTTTGGTTGGCTGTTTCTGGGTAGATCTAGCTGGCCAAAATAATGAGATCGCCCCAAGCAAGCACGGATGTTTGTTGTCAACGGAGGCATCCGGGGAGAACTTCGAAGATTTTGTTCCACGAGAACGGCACGAGCGAGCAGTTTAGTCCCATGCGCAAGGTTAAGGGTAACCGTTATCGGAAGCGGTACGCTGCACCTCGAACCTCTAGGAACTTTTTGTGGTACGGTACTAGTAGATCTACCTGTACGGCACGCATCGTCGCAACACATTGTGTCTGGAGATGATGATATGCGAAGACCAGGAGATGCACAAAACGTATCCCGAGGGGTGGCTCCAGGGAGTCAGAAGTGGAGCTTGGATTGGGTCAATTCCGAAGGGGTGCTGCAGGAGATGGATCAGGGTTAGATCATCAGCAAGGTTGCTTCAGCTTCTGTTTGCCACCAAACACGTGTCATGGTTGCCACCACGTACGTCGTGGTCCCAACTCGATGCCATCGGAACAGCAATCTCTACATGTGGATCGATCACATTCGAGCTTCTTTGGTGCAAAGCAACATCGTTCTCGTTTTCGCTCGACTTCTATCGGCTACTGCGGTCGATTGTCGATTGCATGCATGTGTTTAGTACGGTAGATCTAGTGGTAGGTATGCACCACAGCTCGGACTCACAAACGAAAGGAGGAACGTACAGTACCTGCTGTTGCTGGTGCGAGGATGAACAAGCCACAGGTAGACTGATTCGATTCCACCAACTGTAACTCTAAACCCCCGTTCTTCCTTCGATTCAATAAGTCAATCCTCATTGACGCGAAAGATCGTTGGTCACTTGTGGTGAGTGCGTGGATTCTCGTAAGCTACGAACAAGACTGAACGGCAATTTAGCGAGACAGGAGCGACCTGATGTACTATTCTAGACCACTATGTACAAGCCGAACGGGAGCACCATGATGCCAAAAGCCGCATCTATAAAGAAAGATATATGCTTTGTCACCAGTACTGAACGGTTTTTGCAACCAAAATGGTGGAAAACACGGTTTCAGGTTGTCCCAGTGGCTCATTATTTCACTCTTCTTGGGAACGCACCGAGTGATTGCCTTAGCGACGGACACTTACAGTAGCTACATATTCTTGGCAACAAGATAGATAGATAGCTAGCTAGCAATGAGGATCGTTTCGGCCGTCCCTCTGATTCTTGCAAGCTCGTTGGTGCTGCCACTGTGCCATGGCCAACGAGTGCAATCGGAGGATATCGTTGACGATGAAGTGTGGACCGTGGACAATTCGACCATTGTGCAGATATCCCAAGATATCTCTGTGGCGCAGGACGCGTCTCTGACAGTTGCCGAAGGTGTTACAGTCAACTTTACTGGCCCTTTTTCCGTCTCTGTCAGTGGCAAAGTCATCTTGCGGGGCACAGAATCTAATCCCGTCACGGTCAGCAACGGTTTCAAGGCTTTTTCGCTCATGGAGCTCGACGAAGCAGGAGAGTATCCCGAGCTGGAAGCCGAGTATACTTTGTTTGTCAACAATACTGGTGGAGCCATCATGAGAGAGTGGCCTACTTCAGAAGCTCCCGTTATCAAGGTGGAGGACTGCCAGTTCCGAAACAATCAGTACGCAGTTCGAGCTTATCGAGCGGAGCTAGAGAACGTGAACATTCAAGGAGGACGTATTGGAGTTAGTTTGCATGACTCCCTCGTCAAAAGCACGGTCATTGATGGGATGGACGAAATTTGCGCCTTTGCAAGCTCAGAAAGCGTCATCAACAACTCAACTTTTACCAACTGCGGGACGATTGGTGCATGGATCGGAGGTACAATTTCAGATACTACTGTCATAAACGTCACAGAAGGAATTGTAGCTGCTACTGGAGGATTTGGCGGACTTGTCTCTACTCAAGTCGATAACTGCGTTGTGCGAGGTGCTTCCGCCTTTGGGTTCAGGTATATTGAGACTGTAACGGATTCGGTTGTCTTGGATAGTCCCGATGCCATCGGAGCCACTTTTCATTCGGGCAGTATTTCAGGATCTGTCATTGCAGGCAGTTTGATCGGCATTCAAACCGGGAACCCAGATGGTGAAACTGCCGAGGTGGCCATCGCTGATTCTTATATTTGCGGGAATTCACGAACCCAATTTGACGCGAGATTGGAGCCTGGATTCAGCAATGCCACGCAAACATTCTTTGGAGACACAGGATCCAATCCAGAATCTCTGGGAGAAGATTTCTTTCAGGCATTGCCATTCAATGAAGCTGCCCTTGGTGTCCTGGTGTACGATCTCACCGACAATGTTCCAGTTGTCATTGTTCCGCTTGACGAGGTAGCGCTGTTTACACGTGAAGACATCGACATTGAAGCACTTTGTGGCGCTCTCCCCCCTGTCATCACATCATCTCCCACACTGTCCCCGACAGTGGCAGTCACAGTAGTGGCAACAGAGGTGGAAACGGGGGCGCCGACATCGGCGTCTGTAACGAGTTCGCCCACGGAAACTCCCACTGTCATACAGACTGTGGCTGCGACAAACACCGATGTTCCAACTGCAGAAGCTGAGATAGACACAGGTACACCGACCCTGGCGGTGGCTATCACCAGCGCTCCATCGACGGAGTTTGGTGGGCTTCCAGCCCAAACACTGGCTGCCTCCTCCGAAACCCCCTCGTCGGTACTCTTCGCGCAAACACAGGCAACGGAAACAGAGGTACCTACAATCGAACTCAGCATGGGACCAACCGAAATGGAAACATTTTTGGACACTTTTACGGATATGCCCACAGTTTCAGAAGCACCGACCATACCGCCAACTACGCCACAACCAACGGCACCCCAGCGAAAGGTGGCTCCGCCGGCCAAGTGTGGATCCATTGGTTTGGCTGGAGGTCGAGGAGGAGCTGCCGGTCAAGCAAAAGGATGTACCAGTGGGCGCCGTAATACAAGAAGACGTCTCAAGGGTCTCTAGCTACGCTGACAAATTGGATTCATTATGCCCAGCGAAAGTCTCACGGCGCCGCGAGAACTTGAGATTGAGCATTCCTTGGCGCATGACTGACTCTTGAGGAGTGAGTTGCTCAAATCTTCTGTGGCGATGGACAGTTTTGAAAAACTCGTTGGACAAATCAAGCCTACGTTTGGGACATGGCGGTATTTGAGACTGATGTCAGCCGTGATGTGTTGACACCAGGTACTCACAAATATCACTGTCGCATACGTCGAGTGCTCTTGCTACATTACATCACTGAAGGGGCGATTGTGTGCGGGCTCCTCATAATGGAGCGCAACACTTCAGAGATTCTGTATATACTAGATAATGCATATCGTATGCCCTATGCACTTGACTCTTTCTTGTAGACGCTAGCTAGCTAGACATGTTTTGAGTGGGCAGGAGTATCTGATTGTTTGACTATCCTCTTTGCCTGCATAGGATCCTGGGCGCGCAGAAAGACTTTGTTCTGCTTCGCTGCTTCAAAGGCAGAGATAACGAAGAGTGCTTTTACACGTACGGTAGTAGAAGAAAAGGGAACACAAAACAATTTTCGTCTGGCATGTGGCTTCCTTAGGCAGTTGGCTCCAATTCTGAAGACGCCACTAGCTACCAGCCAGAAGGAGATCCATGTCACTCATGGTGTTGAGATGGCTGCACAATAACACCTCACTTTAGCTGTTTACTACCACACAGGCTGTTCGTGAGGTCTGGCTGGGGGAAATTGAGGCTGAAACGAAGTAAGCACCCTCCCGTCCCATTGGAAAGTTTGACTCAGATTGTGGTTTCCAACGATTGCTCTCGTGGGTTTTTATGTTCTGATTAGATTATTTCCTTTTGAGGCTGTTGCTGGGTACCGGTACGGTAGTAGAGTCGAGTCCAGAGGCAGCTTCTTGTCCTGCCTTGCCCTCCTCGACCTGAGCATGGGAGGGCTCCTACGCTCCTACCGGTACCAATGCAGCTGCTAATTACTGGCTACCTAGAGTGGCATTGTTTTATTTTAAAAATGCCCAATTTAAAAGAGTTATTAATTTCAATAAATGTTTTCTTTCTTGAAACTTTCATAAACAGCAGAGCTGCAAAGAAACTAGCTGGGCTCAGCTAGCTTCTAGCTACGTTCACCCACAAGCCAACACACGTGTCTTCATCTCTTGCAGGATGCGAGCACGTTCTTGTTGGTCCTGTTGATCCTCCGCCGAAGGACGTTGGAAGTACTGCAGTTGCGTCCCAAGACAGCAGCATCTTGCCATCCGACGGGAGCTTCGGGGTGCTGGTATCGACTCGTAGTCAGCAGCATTCTTGGCCATCTGCTGAGCTAGAGTTGAATGCTTGGCTTGAGCGTAGTTTTGCTTTGGTCGCCTCAAACTCTTGCTGCTTTTGGCTAGGCAGCTATAGCCTAGTAGAGGAGTTTGGTTTCTGTATGATATAACTTTTTAACTTTTAGTTTCAAAGAGCGTATAATGTATGTAAAGTAAGATATGAACACAAGGAATTCAATCAAAAAGGTACCAGAATCCTGGGCAGTATTAATAATAGTGTTTGGTCTTCGCGCCACAGAAGAAGGAGATGGTCTCCTTCCGCGTGAAACTGCATGAATCGAATCGTGCAAAGTAATGGAGATGCAGAATACGTGTAGGTAGGTAGGTAGGTAGGTCAGCAAGCCTGTGCTGAGCCTGGCTACCGTAGTTCAGGTTTAGGCACAGAGCGCATGAAAAGGGCGGGCACTGAGCGCACTGCAAGACCGGGACTGCTTGAGTGTGGCGGGTGCGGGTACGGCCTTGGAAGCTTCGAGATTCTTGACACTGGCAATGGCTTCCAAGCGAGCCATGATGGGACTTGCTTTCTTCTTGCTGTCGAGAAGAGCGGGCGCCTTGATTTTCTTGGGAGCAAGCTTGGGCGCCAAACGACGAGGCCTGAGACGTCCTGCCGCAGCCATGAGAAGAGGAGGCAGAGAAGTACCAGTACCGCTGCCAGGTTCACTACTAGGAACAAGAGTAGGTTCGTCTAGGTCATCAAAGGAGGGGACAAAGATTTCCGGCTTGGGGGTCAAAAGAAAGGGAGCGAGCAACGCAGTCTTGGGCGCCAAGGAAGGACGGGGCGCCAAGGGAGTCTTGGGGGGCAAGAAAGCTCTCTTGAGGGTATCAGGCAGCAGAGGTGTCTGACGAGGAGTGAGGGCAACCAAACCTGAAGCTGTGGCACAAGGACCACTGTTGCGGCGCTTGGTGGGACGGGGGGATTCTTGACGGTCTTCCATTCGACGGCTCATCTTGGTCAACTTGAAACTGGTAGAAGGCATGGCTTTGCTTTGGTAGCTACTAGTGGCTAGATAGTAGATAGTAGTAAAGTGGGGTTTAAAAGTCAGGCAAATGATAAAAATGAGCGCAAAATGAACAGCAACGGTTGCAGTTTCAGGTCTTGGGTGAACCTGGCTAGACTACCGTAGCTGGGTGGTCAAAAAATAAATGTCAAGTGGAAAGGATCGTGGATCTGGCCGCTTCTCACCAAATCGATGAAGTGGTATCTTCTGCTTGAGCCTTCTTGGCGGATCGAATGGTTCTCTTGTTCTCTTTGCAATTGTGGGCGTGTAAATCCTTCTGCTACCCTGTTACCTTCATCAGAGAACAAGCCTTTGATAATATATATATGCAAAATTTAAGGTTAAAAGGCTATCTGTGTGCCAACCAGAGAATAAGCCTCTAATGCAAAATGAAAGGGTATCCCGTTGTGTCGTTCGATTCTCCAAAAATGCTTCTGGTTCGCGTCAGCACTCTTGCACTCTTCAGCTGAAAATACGGAAAGGAAACACAGGCGGGACACCTATGGCACCCACGAACTCGACACGCACCAAGCTGATACCACCTGCGTGTTGGTAGTTGGTAGACCAGCTCAGTGGTCAGTACTTGCATACTAGTAGAGCTCTACTCCAGAGTAGCTAGTAGGTAGGTACATGAGCTCCTACATGAACATGTTGTACGACGGTTCCTTCGGCTTCGGCTACTATCCGTACAATCCGGGCGGGCCTCGGTGTCTTATTATAAACAATCCAGAAACAGCCACGGAAGAAACGAGAAGGACCAATGCTGCACGGTCTAAACAGACCGCTAACCCAAGAAAAAATAAATGACAAGAAAGCTCAAGAAGCAACGGTTACACGATGAGCTCACGACTGTCAACGATGAAATCCCGAGCTAAAACATGTCTGCATCCACCAGTTACTGTAGTTCTTTTGAGCTCTTCGGATTTCTGGGACTTATTCATGAGTTGTCCTTCCCTTTGACACTCAATCCCATGAGTGACTATGAGCGGCAGTCTCAAAGGGTCTTTAATGCCTCTATGCAGTTGCTACTGGTTCTACCAACCAGTGAGGGAAGTACATAGGAAGCCCTATTCTCCAGAATGCGAGGTCACATAATATATGCATAAAATGTGCTTACCGGTGAAATGATTTGTAGGGAAGTGGGGAAAGATAGTTGGGGGATGAGCAAACTTGCCCAGGGCTCTGTGTTGAATTTGTTAGAGCGTTTTTGTAAAAATAGTGTGCGCTAAGCCAATCTTTTACTTTGGCTGTTTTTCTCTATTGGATTTGATTGGATTGCATTGGATTAGATTGGATTGCATTGAATTACAGTTTACTATATAAATAACAGTACTATTTGGAATCCAATTCAATCCAATTCAATGCAATCCAATCCAATGCAATCCAATTAAATGTATCTTCCTGCTAAAATACGAATTTCGTCTTTTTAACTGATTTTGGCAAGTCACACTCCATTACAATACAGGGCTATTGCAAGATTTGCCCATCCCCTTGGACAGTGGTGGACAATTGATCTACAATTGCAACTGAATGGAATTGATCTCCCCATCCCCCAATTCTTTCCCAAAGGGGAACTGGTGGGCTGAAAAGGGGTGATAGGCAGTGATCTGATTGGTCGATGAGTTCCGAAGAACAACAAATACGTCAGGAAGTATTCAAAAATATATAACGTACCGTTCTAAGTATTTACAGGGGAAACTG